CCCCCTCCCCCCCCGCCCCCCACCAGAGGCTCCAGCTCCTGCAGGACAGGGTGGAGGCCTCTCACGGAACAACGCTTCTGACCACAGAGAGTTCCGGAAGGGCTGTGTGTCTGTGCCCGCGCCTCCCCGCCTCCTGGGACCCGTGTGCTCCCTGCATGAGAAGTCACTTAACAGAAACCCTTGGTCTCTTGACCCCTGGCTTCCTGAGCCCCTAGGAAGAACCCAAGCTCCTGCCTCTGCTCCTGCTCCGAGGCCGGTGGCTTCTCAGAGCGGCCCTAATGTCCCCAGGCCCTACGACAAGGCAGAGGTCCACCTTGCTCTGACAAAAAATGAGGGGGACAACAGGGACCTGGCCTGCTTCACGCTCAGCTGAACTTTGCCCTGCCCCAAAGCTGCCCGCCCCGATCCTGAGCCCCACCTTGCTGTCCCTTAGGCACCCGGCTGCGCCTGTCCACCTCTGGACCCTCTAGCCTGGCCACAGCACCCACTCCCAGGCCCATGGAGCAAGACCCTGGTTCTGAGGGCACTCCCATGGCAGGATCGTCACGGCGGGGCCCCTGGAGGCCATGTCGGCTCCCTCTGCAGGGGGACCCCAGACCAACACAGCCCAGCCGGCGCACCTTCCACGCACGCTGGAGTCAACCGGCGACGCGGATCTTCCTCTAAGACGGTGCCTGGCTGGAGGGGATGGCGGCTCATCTGTAGGGGCCCTGGCGTGGGGCCTTCAGAGCCCTGGCCCCAGGTCTCTCACCACCTCCAGGACTGCCAGGGCCCAGGCTGCCAGCACCTGGCCGCTGCCCCCACACTTGCTCTGTGACATTCTCTCCTCAGGAGAATTCTCGGAAATGGAGGCTGAGGCTGAGTACTGAGGCCGGGTGCTGAGGCTGTGTGCATGGGGCTGGTTCCTGAGGCTGGGTGCTGAAACTAGGTGCTTGGAGCTAGGTGCTTAGGCTGTGTGTTGGGTACTGAGGATAGGTGCTGGAGCTGGGTGCTGGGGCTGGGTGCTTGGTGCTGGGTACTTGGGGCTGGGTGCTGGGGCGTGGGGCTTGGGGCTTGGGGTTGGGTGCTTGGGGCTAGGTATTGGGGCTGGGGTTGGGTGCTTGGGGCTGGGTGCTGAGGCTGGGTGCTTGGGTTGGGTGCTTGAGGCTAGGTATTTGGGCTGGGTGCTGCCCTCTCCTCCCTCTGGTCCCACCATAGCTCCATGGGAGAAGGTCCCCTCGTGCCACAGATGAGGAAGGCGAGGCTCAGAGCAGGCACCAAGGTTCGTGGGCACACCTGGGGGAGGGCCCCATGCATCTGACTGGCGGGGAGGGGGCTAATCCCAGCCCCAGCAACAGGGACAGACTGCACACAGGAGGTGCTTGCTGGAGGCTGCCTGATTCCACTCGCGGGGAGACCCCTGCGGAGGGCACTGCTTTGGAGCCCCCCCGACGACACGGCCCCGGGAACACAAGCCCAGCTCAGAGCGGCTCTCACCAGCCTCCGCGACCTCCCTGCAGTCAGAGTAGAGCAGCTTAGGGTTGCACCTGGCTGGGTCACTGTGGAGCCCTGCCTAGAACCATGGGTCTGGGGGAAGCCCGCCTGAAGAGGTGGGGTGGGGCTAGAGGGTGGTTCCCCACCCGCCTGCCCCCCTGGTTACTCTTCCCCAACCCCGGACGGCTCCCGTCTTAGGAAGGCACGCTGTGCCCCACAGTGGCCTTCCTCTCCCACCCTGGCTACATTTAGAAGTGCCCGGAAAAGCCGGAATTTGTCCCAGGACACGCACTCCTCTGAGTCAGAGGCCACAGACTCTGATGCCTCCCAAGAGGCCTGGATGCCACCTGCAGTCCTGGCCCTCCTGCAGCCCGCCCTGCCCACTCGGGCAGCCGGGTACGCACCTTCTAAGTCTCTGTGATCATGGGTACCACAACGGAGACTGTGCACATTTGAGCACGATGTGGAAACATGCACGTGCCGGGGGCGTGGCGTTGTTTCATAAAACGGGAGATTTCCCCGCTCTGTTCTCCCTCTCACCCTTTCACAGGACAATGCCTTGGAAGTGCTTCCAAATATGTCACATGCCTATAATTCATTCTTTCCCGGTTGCGAATTGCATCCTGATCTCATCAACCCTCCAGTCGCAGAGAGGTGGGCGACCTTCCTCAGTGCAGATGTCTGGGAGCTTCCATCAGTGCGGGACTGGTTCATGCTTCCACCCCTTCTCCTGTGAGCAGTGCTGTCTTGATGAGTAGTGTCACCTTCCTCTGTACTTTACACATCGTCTTTTTTTATTCTTTTAATCCTGTGACACAGGTTCTTACGGGTTTATCTAGAAGGCCAGGGTCTCTTCTGGAGGGATTCTCTCTGTTCCAATGGCCTGCTTTCCCAAGGTCATGGAAATCAATTAAAAACACCTTAACTTCTTTTTTATTTTCTGAGTTAGAGTCTCACTCCATCACCCAGACTGGAGTGTAGTGGCTTGCTCCCAGCCACTGCAGCCTTGACCTGCTGGGCTCCGGCAATCCTTCCGTTTCAGCCTTCCAAGTAGCCAGGACTTCAGGCATGTGCTACTATGCCCAGCCGGTTTTTGATTTACTGTAGAGATAAGGTCTGGCCAAGTTTCCCAGGTGAGTCTTGAACCCACGGGCTCAGGCAATCCACTTGCCTTGGCCTCCCAAAGTGCTGGGAGTACAGATCGAGCCACCGAGCCTGGCCAACTTCTTGTGATTCGTACTGGATTTGGGGCTGCTAATTTCAAAGGCTCAGAAAGTGGGTCTGAGGGGCTGTGCAGTTGGACCTGAGTCTGAGACGTCAGTCCAGGGCTCGTTCCCCCGGCTGAGATGCAGCGTACATGAGAGACATTAGAAGCACCAAGACCAACCATGTTTTAATGATTCACACTGAAAGGAAGTCACCCATTCTTACTCACTGCTGGGGGCGTCCCCAGAGAACAACATGGCAGTGTCCTTCAAAATGAAAATACCTCCACACACCTGTTGGGAGTTCATCCCAGAGAAATGTGTCAGGTCATGCTACAGGCTCACAGGAAGGAGCCCAGGCTAGGGCCACCCCAGCACACATAAGCAGGTGCCCGGACACAGCCACTCGGGCCTGGCCCTAATCGCCACACTAGACAGTAGCCGTGTGAAGACGGTCACATGGGGGTCTTCCTCTCCTAGACGGCAGCCCTGGGCACCACTCCAGCCCCAGCCCCCCTAGCTAGGATACCACTCAGGAGAACCCCAATGCCTGGTGGGGTTGCCACAGAAGAGCGCAAGTGCCACAGAGGCAGCTGGGTGTGGAGAAAGACCAGGAGAGCCTCTGGGAGACAGGAGGGCCGGTCAGGATGTGAGCTCCCGAGGAGAGCTTAGACCAGGAGCCCAGGGGTAGGGTGAGCCTAGGACTCACAGAAGCCATGAGGCTGCCTTGAAGAAGTCAGGCTACCCGTGCTGTTCTTACAGACGCACTGAATGTGCCACGCCTTGGTTTCTGCTTAGGACGTCAGCCTTCATGTTTTCATGTCCATGGTTGTGCTTGTTTTTAGTGTGGATAACTTTAAACCATTTTCATTTCCCGGCAATGAATAGATGTGATTTGCTCCCACGAGGACGCCCACAGACTCTCTAAATCCAGAGTCCCCTACACGGAGTGGAGGCAGATTTACAATCACAAATGCTTCCGCGATGCCAGCTTTGGACTCCCTGGATCGAGCCCCGTCCCTCCTTTCACGACCACAGACACATGCACCCACAGACAGCTTCCTGCCGGAAGTGTGCCACCCATCCCCAGCCACGTCGCCGGAGGCAGACTGGCCTGAGTTCTCAGCGGGTCTGCTCCCAGAAAGACCGTGCTGCAGGGCATGGGCACAGCCTCCTTCAGTATTGACTGAAGGCGGACCTGACCCGGGCCGTGACCTCAGGGAATCCCCAACAGCCTGCGTCTGGACAGCCATGATGACAGCACCTTGCTTACGTGGGGAGAACCCAAGGAGAGAGAAGACCCAAGCACGAGCCCCCACCAGGCAGGGAGCACCCACAGGCAGGAAGCACTCAGCAGGTAGAGAACACTCACAGGCCGGGAGCACTCAATGGGGAGAGAGCACCCCCAGGCCGGGAGCACTCAATGGGGAGAGAGCACCCCCAGGCCGGGAGCACTCAATGGGGAGAGAGCACCCCCAGGCCGTGAGAACTCAACGGGCAGGGGGCATCCACAGGTAGGGAACATCCACTGGCAGGGAGCACTCAGTGGGCAGGGAGCACCCACAAACAGGAAGCATCTGAAAAGGTACCTGTTGCTGTCTTCCCCTCCACTCCCAGATGGTCTGCTGTGTGACTGCCACAGTTACCAGCTGGTGTTCAATACGTAGCTCCCAGTGGCCAGTGACCCCGGCGTCCACTCTGCAGAGCTGCCCATGAGGAAAGATGCTCCCCAAAGGCATCTCATGCCCAAAAGCCCTGAGTCAAGAGCCTCTGTGCCCATGCCCCTGTGCCCAGTGTCCCTGAGCCCAGAGACCTCATGCCCAGGGCCCTGTGCTCAGCACCCCCATGCCCAGCACCCCCATGCCCAATGCCCCCAAGCCCAGTTTCCCTGTGCCCATGGACCCGGGTCCAGCACCACTGTGCCCACGGCCCTGTGCCCAGTGCCCCCGAGCCCAGTGCCCCCATGTCCATGGTCCCATGCCCAGCACCTCCATGCCCACAGCTCTGTTCCCAGTGCCCTCGTGCCCAGTGTCCCGCCCAGTGCCCCTGTGCCCATGTGCCCCTGAGTCCATGGACCTGTGTCCAGTTCCCCCGTGCCCAGTGCCTCCGAACCCAGAGCCCCAAGCCCAGCACCTCTGTGCTTACAGCCCCATGTCCAATATCTCCATGCCCATGGCCGTGTGCCTGGCGCCCCCATGCCCAGCATCCCCAAGCCTGTTACCCCTGTGTCCACGGCCCTCTGCCTAGCAGCCCTGTGCCCAGAACCCCCTGCCCGGCTCCCCTGAACCCAGGGCCCCCAGCCCAGTGCCCCTGAGCCCATGGATCTGTACCCAGCACCCCGTGCCCAGCACGCCAAGTCCAGCACCTCCATACCCATGACCCCATGCCGAGTGACCCTGTGCTCAGAGCCCCAAGCTCAGCACCCCCATGCCCAGCGTCCCTGAGCCCAGCACCCCCGTGCCCATGGCTCCAAAACCTGGTGCCCGGTATCCCATGCTCAGCACCCCTGAGCCCAGTGCCCCATGTCCTTGGCCCTCTGCCCAGTGTCCCTGTGCCCAGAGCTCACTTTACCAGTACTCTCGAACCCAGTGCCCCCAGCCCAGTGCCCCATGCCGTTCCTCTGAGCCCATGGACCTATGTCCAACACCCCTGTATCCAGTGCCACAAGCCCAGCACCTCCATGCCCATGGACCCATACCTAATGCTCCCATGCCCAGTGCCCCTGTGCCAGTGTCTCCGAGTTCAGCACTCCTGTGCCTATGGCTCCATACCCAGCACCCCCATGCCCAGTGCACCAAAGCCCAGTGCCCCTGCCCTCTGGCTCCTGGTCTGTGGCTCACTTCAAGCCACATTCTGTCCTCCATATCTGAACATCTACCAAGGCGCATCTCCCACAGCCCCACTGAGCTCATCCTGAGTCTCTCTGACACCCCTCCAGCTCCCTGATGGGGAATCCCCACGTGCTGATGAGCACATATTTGGGGTCAGACTGTCCCTATGCCGCCCTTCCTGTGAGGGAACCATCAGCCCAGACAGCTGCCAGGATGTGGACAGAAACGCACCTGATGTCTGTGGACGGGGTAGCTCTGCCTGGGGTCTGTCCAGCGGGTGGTCTGGGACCGGCGGGACCTGCACTCCTGGCCCTGGCTGGAAATGGGGATGCCGACTCCGCCCAGTCCTGCAGCACCCAGAGCCTGTGCTTCCCAAGACCCCGGGCCACCAGTCCAGCCCAAGGACCTGCCTCTCACTACATCTTAGAAACTGTCACTAATGACATGACCAACAGTCAGGAGATTCGTGTAAGAGACAGACCACCAGTCTTTCTCATCCAAAAGATGGGGTCATCCAGAGTGGCGCCCAGCCCTCCTGCCCCGGCAGTGGCACGGACTCTCAGTCCACCTCCAGAGCAGCCAGGCAGCCCTCTCTTGTCCGCTGAGGCAAGCGCCCGTGTCAGCCTTGGTGTTTCTCCTGAGAGTCACGCTGATCCCGCTGCCCCCTCCTCGACCTCTGCCTGGAGCGGCCTTGCTCTGAGTCTGCAAGGCTCTGCCCTGGCTTCCCTGCCTCTTTCTCGGGCTGAGCTCCTGACCTCTCTCTTCAAACATCCCTGGCATCACCAGAGCCACGTCTGACCACATGGCCCCATGAGGTCTCCCCGTCGCCCTCACAACTCGCTGGCTACCTCTCGAGCACCACGGTGCTGTCAGCCACACTCCGAGCCCTAGGACTCCATCATTCATTGCCGAGGGGCGAGTGACCACCCGCAGACTCCTGGGGCTGTTCTTCTGCTGCAGGACGAGAGTGGCCATAGGATGGGTATACCTTTGTGATGGCAGTTCTGTGCCTTTTCCCCTGGGTGGCTAGAGTGAGCTGCCTGCGCCTTCCAGGTGATACCCAGAGGGAGGCTGGATCAGAGGCCTGTGGATCGGCCAGGCAGGAGGAAGGGGAAGGGACTCGTGCACACAAACACAGCTCAGATGGTCGTGGGTACTCCACACACCTGCTGGCGTCCCCAGCATGCCAGGGCCTGAACCACAGACGCTGAGAACGGGTCCTGTGTGTCAGTAGGCAAGTGCAGGATGTGGGCCCACCCTCATCTGCACCTGACATCTCCAGGTCCAGGACCCCGGGGCCAGCTCTTACCTCCAGCGGGACCACCTGCATGAGGATGGCGAAGTTGGTGAGGTGCGTGCAGCGGCAGATGGAGTGGGTGAGGTTTCCTCCTGCGAGTGCACAGCCCTGGTTCGACCAGACCCCTTCTCCGGAGCTGGAGACAAAGGAGAAAGGGTCAGCGGAGCCCCACACCGCTGGCAGGGGGTGGAGAGCAATGCCCTCAGTCGTACAGGCCCTGAGTGCATGGTGGCGCCCATGCCGGTCACACCTGGAAATGCACGTCAGCACAGTTCTGGGATGGCCCATTCGCCAGCGGGAGCTGGGCGTGTCTGGTGCTGGCCAGGCCATGGGGAAGTGTCAGCACAGCTCCCATGCTGGGCACCAGGACAGCACCCAGCACAGAACTAGATGCACACAGCATGGCTGCCCCTAGGGAATCTCCAGTGATAGGCACGGGACCACGTCAAGGAAGGTGGCCGGGTCATGCATGACACTAGAAGACACGCTTAAATGCCCATCAGGGAAAACGGGCAAATAAATGCGAGTTATAAAAATACGACAAAATATTGTGCATCACTCACAAAGAGCTTCCAGTCAGGTGCAGTAGCTCATGCCTGTAATCCCAGCACTTGGGATTCTGAGGCAGGAGGATTGCTTGAGCCCAGGAGTTCAAGACCAGTCTGGGCAACATGGCGAGACCTCTTCTCTCCAATAACTCGAAAGATTAGCTGGGCGTGGTGGTATGTGCCTGTAGTCCCAGCTACCTGAGAGGGTGAGGCAGGAGGATCACCTGAGCCTAGGCGGTCGAGGCTGCAGTGAGCTGTGATTGTGCCACTGCACTCCAGCCTGGGTGACAGAGTGAGACCCTGACTCAAAACAAACAAACAAACAAACAAAAAGAGAGTCCTTGGCAATGTGCAGTGACATGGATCAAACACCAAAACACAAGGCATGATGACACCAGGAGCGTGGGCCAAAGCAGCCTCAGACACGTCCCGCGAACATGACACATATCGTCTATATACCATGGGGACACTCACACAAGTGCCCCCGCAGTAGGGACCTCCAGAGAGGGAGGAAATGGAAGAGATGTGAGGGTCAAAGGGGGCCTCTGCTTCTTAATGTTTTACTTTTTAAATGAATAATGTATGGACACATCACTTGGAAAAGTTCTAAAAGTATAAACCGAGACAAAAATGACCTGAAGCAAATATGCCCGCATGGTGAATTCTTACGGGAGGAATATCAGAGATTTATAATTTTCTTCTCTGTACTTCTCTATATTTTCAAATTCCAAAAAAGACATTTTAAATGGCTCTTCCCAGAAGTTGCAACTTTGAGTTATCAGCAAAGACAAATTGCTTCAGCGAAAGTCAGGGCCCCCTAGGGGAGAGCATTCAGAAAACTGAGCACATTAAAAGACTCTGGGTTTTCTTCCTTTATATTAGTTTTTAACATTGATGTTGCACGCTTGCAGCCGATGAGGAATGCGGCTGTCCAGACAGGTAGCTGGTAGAGATCCGGCCTCGCACACCTCCTGCCAGTGTCCAGGGGATGGAGCACATGCCAGCAGCCTTTCCCAAGGCGGATGGGGCCGAGTGGCTGGGGCAGTGGTCACTGTGTTAGCCTGAGGGAGGGTGGGGAAGGTCGTTCCGAGGCAACTGGGGGTGGCTCTGAGCCCGAGGACTGAGACACGGACAGCAACAGCTTCGGGGTGGCTTTCCTGATTAATGATCTGCCCTCCGTGGAGTAGGGGGGTGGGGAGAAAGCATTTAGCATAGAGCAGAGGGCAAAGCCAGAGCCACCAGGACCTACCAATTTAGAGGCACAAAACGCCATCAATAACCTCAGAAGAGACAGGACTCAAGATAGGGTCACGCCCTCCCCGCCCACCACGTCTTTTGGTCTGACTTTCCCAGGACCTTGGGGAGTGAGCAAACACCAGCTGTCATGTTACACAAGCGTCTGGGCCTCCTGAATATCCGAGCACCAGACAACCTGAGGGGCCTGAAATCGGCAGGCATTGAATTAGGTGAATGTGGCCGTGGGACGAACCGCCCCTTCCGCGCACACAAGGGGGAGCTGAAAACACAAAGGTCACATTTTCCATACAGAGCCACAAAGGTGTGATGGTGTCCCAGCAAGCCAGGGGACCTGCACCCTGAGCGACGTCACCTCCACGCGGGGTGAAGACCTGCTCCCAAGGGAGTCAGGAACAAGGAGGTGGCATCCGCCTGTGGGCAGACAAAGCTGCCACAGAGGCCAGGCCAAGCCACGTCAAGTGACCTTAAAGATGTGTTGGGCCGTGACCCAGGAGGCCTGCACCTGAGCAGAAAGTGTCCACCCTGCACATTAATAAATGTGGTGCGTACAGACACAATACAGAAAGGGTATTGGTGTGGGTAAAACACAAAGTCAGAGCGTGGTAGAATTACGCAAGACACATTCAACAGGGGCCTGCGTTTCCTGTGTACATAAATGCAAATTACTGAGAAACAAAAGTCAAAACCTTCCGCAGTAGGAGATTGGGGTAAGAGGTCAAAGGGGACACCTTCCCTTTTATAGTCCCGAGAGGGGTGACCCAGAATTCCAAGCCCAGTGAATGCAAAATAAAAGAGAATCCTTCCTCAGACAGACTAACGGAGACTGCTGCCAGCTCTGTGCACAGCAAGCAGGGTTAAAGGCAATGCCAGGCAGAAACCCAGGTCAACAGAGGGAAACAGAATAGCTGGAAATGGAAGAAATGACCGGAAATGGGCAGTGACCATTGTCTTATTTACAATTGCTCCAGAAGATAACTGACTGTCCAGGACAAAGATACCAGCAATGCATAGTGTGTTTACAACATCTGCAAGTTCAAGTGTATGCAGGGACGGTACACAGAACAGCAAGGAAGAAGTGTAAAAGCATGACTGTGATGTCTTAGAATACTTGTGAAATGAGATAACATTATGTGAAGGTAGGCATGAATAAATTAAGCTACATACTGTAAGCTTAGGGCCACCACTACGAAAACAGTTCAAAGAGTATAATTTAGAAGGCAATAGTGGAGATAAGATGGTATCATAAAAGATATCCAACAATCTAGATGAGGTGAGAAAAAGACAGCAAGAAAAAAACAAAGAAAAAATGGAAAAATGGCCAGGTATGGTGGCTCATGCCTACAATCCCAGCACTTTGGGAGGTCACGGTGGGAGGACTGCTTGAGCTCAAGAGTTCAAGACTAGCCTGAGCAACATACATAAATACATCATTCCTACAAAAATTAGTCAGGTGTGGTGGCACATGCCTGTAGTCCCAGCTACTTGGGAGGCTGAGACAGAAAGATCACTTGAGCCCAGGAGGTTGAGGCTGCAGTGAGCTGAGATCATGCTACTGCACTCCAGCTTGGGCAACGGGGTGAATCCCCAACTTTAAAAAAGAAATGAAAAAGAAAAATTAGAAAACATCTAGCAAAATGGTAGATGTTAATCCGATCACATCAATTATACAGTAAATATAAACTGTCTAAGCACATCAGTTAAAAATATGAATTTTAAGAATGGATTTTTAAAAAGCCCTAGTCATATACAGCCTAAAAGAAATTGTTTTTAAATATAAATATGTAAATAGAATACAAGGAGAATGATGGCAAAAGACACAGCATGCAACCACTAATCAAAAAAGCTAGAGTAGCTTTATCTAAATTAGACTAAGCGACTTCAAAGTAACTTATGTTTTCCCGGGGAAAGAGGGACAGGACATAATGATAAAAGGGTCAGTTCTCCAAAAAGCCCTAACAATCCTAAACGTACACGCACCCAACAACAGAACTACAAAATACAAGAAAAACTCATACAGCTAAAAAGATAAATAGATAAATCCACCATTAAACATGGATAATTCACACTTGTCTCTTACTCATTGACAGAACAAGTTGACAGAATAATAGGGATACAGAAGACCTGACCATAACATTTGGCTAACTTGATCTAATTGGTATGTATAACACACTCCACCAAGAAAATATCTTTTTCAAGTGAACATAAACATCCACCAAGATTGAGCATATCCTGGGTCATATAACAACTTTTAACACATTTACAAGAACTGTGGTCAGGCATGGTGGCTCATGCCTGTAATCCCAGCACTATGGAAGGACAAGGTAGGAGGATTGCTTGAGCCCAGGAGTCTGAGACCAGCCTGGACATCATAGTGAGACCTCATCTCTACAAAAAATTAAAACAAACAAACAAACAAACCAAGAAGCTAGGCATGGTGGTGCATACATCTAATTCCAGCTACTTGGGAGGCCCAGTTGGAAAGATCACCTGAGCTCAGGAGGTAGAGGCTACAGTGAGCAGTGATCGTGCCACTGCACTTTAGCCTGGGTGACAGAGTGAGACTCTGGCTCAAAAAAAAAAAAAAAAAGAGAGAAAGAAAGAAAGAAAAAGAAAAAGAAAACTGAAGTTAGAAAAAGTACATTTTCAGATCACCAAAAAAAATTTAATTATAAATCAATACAAGAAAGATCTCTGGAAAATTCCCAACTATTTGAAAATTAAATAACACTCTTCAAAATAACATATAGGTTGAAGAGGAAATCACAAGAGAAATTAGAAAGCATGTCAAATTTAAATTTAAAACAACATTTTAATACATGTTCTTCCATGTACATGGCACTCACAGAGGCAAAATCACTGGGACAGAAGACATATCAGCAGCGAAATCAGTGCTTACAAGAAAACTTACAGCATGAAGTGTTTATAGGAAAATAATAAAGATCACATATCACTCATCAAAACATACCACATAATACATTTTAAAATGAAGATCAAATTAAATCCAAAGCAAGAAGAAGAAAGTAAATTAAAGGCAAAAAGAATAAATCAATGATATTTACACCAGAAGCATAATAGAAAAAAAATCAATGAAAACAAAAGTGTCTTGGGGAAAAAAATCAAAATTAATAAACCTTTAGTAAGAGTGACTAAGAAAAAAGGGAGAAGACGCAGATTACGAGTATAAAAAAATGAAAGAGGTACATCATTACAGACCCTACAGACATGAACAAAGGCTAATAAGGAAACACCATAAACAACTCTATGCTCATAAATTAAACAATCTCAATGAAATGGATAAATACTTCAAAACACACACAGATACACACACAGCTAACATTCAGTTTTTAAAAATGACCTTAATAGTTCTGTATCCATAAAAGAAATTGAATGTGTAGTTTAAAACTTGACAACAATGGAAACTAAGGCTCAGTTGGCTTCACTGGTGAATTCTACCAAAATACGAGTGGAAGACATAATATCCCTTCTATACAAACTATTCCAAAATGTGCCTTTTACAAAGGTATCATCTTACTACAAAAACAGAAAACCACAGACCAATATCCTTCATGAATACAGACACAAAATCCTCAATGATGCTAGCAAATTAAACTCAGCAATATGCAGAAAGGAAAATACATCACGACTAGATGGGGTTTATCCCAGGAAGGCAAAGCTGGTGAAACACTCGGCTGTAATCCCAATGACCCCAGTCTAGAAACAGCACACATGTTCCTCTACTAGGGGAAAGATAAACTATGGTACGTCCATCCATACAATGGAATGTTACTCAGCAGTAGGGAATAAAGACGAACTTAAAGCAAGATGGATGTCTCTCTGCTGAATGTATCCGGCTATGTTACGGACGGCGGGCTCAAAAGATCGCCCACACTGTGCTTCTGTGTACACTCACAGAGGCAAAACCACAGGCACAGAAGACACGTCAGCAGTTTCAGGACCTGGTGGTGGGAGCAAGGGAGACTTCAAAGAACTCCCGGAGTCGTCAGGGCTGACAGGCTGCTCTCTACCTTGATTCTGGGGCTGGACAACCACATGCATTTGCTGAAACTCGCAGAACCGTACTGTTTTTTAAAGGGTGGGTTTTTCTGAATTCCAATTCTATAATAACAAATAGCAATTTGAAAATGGACAGGAAAGAGACACGTGGCATATTCATGATGGTGGCAGCCTCAAGAAACTGAGGAAGAAGAACAGAAGGAGGCAAAGTGCCCTTTAACACCACCTGAGACGTTTCCGGGGTTTTATTCTTTAAAACATAAATGAAGCCGGGCTCGGTGGCTCAGCCTGTCATCCCGCGCCTTTGGGAGGCTGAGGTGAGTGGATTGCCTGAGCACGCAAGTTCGAGACCTGCCTGGGCAGCGAGATCTCTTCTCTACAATAAATCAAAAAATCAGCCGGGCGTGGTAGCGCGCGCCTGTAATTCCGGCTACTCGGAAGGCTGAGGCGGAAGGATCGCCGGAGCCTGGCGGGTCGAGGCTATGGTGGGCGGGAGCGGCCGCTGCCCTCCAGTCTGGGCGACAGAGTGAAACTCCAACTCAAAAAAAAAAGGACAAACATACGGACTTTGCAGCAATGTAAATGGACTTAGAGTCTATAATACTCAGTGATTTATCACAGAAACAAAGAACTGAGTACCACATGTTCTCACTCATAAGCGGACCCTGAACAATTACCATAATACTACTAGAAAGGGATTGGCAGTGGCAGGTAGATGCCAGGGGTGGGGAGAGGGTGGGGCAATGGGCACATAACATCAATATGGGTACCTGATCTCAAACCATGAGAAGTAGGGACCAAAGAGAGGCCCAAACTTTACCTGTACAATGTCTACTTGTATACCTAATCCTGAATTGTACCCCACATCTTTAAAAAAAAAAAAAAAAGACAATTGTAAAGATCTGACAGCTTTGCCCTTTTGTGCATATTGAATCAATGGCGAATAAGAGCTGGAGTATATAAACATTGGCTAACATCTCATTTTGCATAAGAAAAAAGCCCTCCTCTCCCTCTCCTGCTCTATCTGCCTCCCACCTTGCCTGGCTCCGCTCTCTTTCTCTTCACAACTCTGGAGAGAGCAGGTTTTTTTCTTTTTATTAAATCTCTTTCAAGGTAGGCTGGACATGGTGGCCCACACCAGTAATCCCAGCACTTTGGGAGGCTGAGACAGAATTGCTTGAGGCCAGGAGTTTGAGACCAGCCTAGGCAACATGGTAAGACCCTGTTTCTACAAAAACTAAAAAAATAATAACTTGGTGTGGTGACGTGGGCCTATGGTCCCAGTTACTCAGGAGGCCGAGGTGAGAGGATCCCTTGGGCAGTACGAGGTTACAAATGATTGTGCCACTGCACTCCAGCCTGGAGTGAGTGAGACCTAGCTCTGGAAAAAAAAAAAATCGTAAGACTCAGTCATCAAAATCTAACAGTTTTGCCTTTTGTGTGTAGAATCAGAAGCTATTAAGAACTGTAGTATGTAAGCATTACCTCTTGGCTAACACCCTTGTTTTACAGAAGAAAAAAAGCCCTAGAGGCATCAAATGACTTATCCAAAATTGCACAGCCGGTAGCCAATGTTTGTTTCAACTTGTTGTCTCATAGCTACTCTTTTTCTCTTTACTACTCCAGAGAGAGCAGGTTTCTTTATCAGATCTCCTTAAAGGTTCTAAAGAGTACGTTCTCCTGTCTCAGTCCTAAGGGGGAAAGGCCTGTGCCTCCCTGGGTTTTTTCTAGGTGGAAGTTTTGTTATAAATAAGATCCAGCTATTAAAACATCTTCCCCTTTTTAAGAGTTCTGGGAAGGAAGTGTGCTTCGGGAGGTTTGAGCCTACAAAGTGGAAGTCACTCTGTGGGTTCCACGGTTTGGCCACTGACTTCTCACATGGTTTCAGTCCCTGGCATTGTGGTATTGACACGATATCAGTTACAAATTAGCAAGTAACGAGGTGTTGTCACCACATCCCAGGCTTGTTTGGAAATGAATGTCACTGTGTTTTGCAAAGCTTCAAGGGGTGATGGAAGAATGATAATAAAGGATCAGAATAGGGACCCGGGGATGAGAGAACATTTCTTTCTTTTTTTTTTTTTTTTTTTGAGTTGGAGTCTCACTCTGTCGCCCAGACTGGAGTGCAGTGGCTGCTCCCGGCCACCGCAGCCTCGCCTGCTGGGCTCCGGCAGTCCTTCCGCCTCAGCCTTCCAAGTAGCCAGAATTACAAGCATGCGCTACCACGCCCGGCTGTTTTTTTGATTTATTGTAGAGATGAGGTCTCGCTGCC